ATGGCCACATTCAGCTGGCGTGATAATATTATAAATGCGAATAATCTACCGATATTTATTATATGAGGTTAACCTTCTTGAACACTGCTTGACACTAAATAGACAAGTTGAGAACAGTTTCCTACAAATCAGGGAGAAAATAACAAACTTTCACACTCAAACGATCCGTTGGGGTAACATTAAGCCAACCGCTGAAAAAAAATCGACCTCATTCATCGTTTTGTGTGGACACGGAAGAGCATGGAACACTTTCCCTGGTATATTTGAAAGCGAAATCACCATCCAACTGTAAGACCGTTGCCGAATAGCTCCTAAAGTATGAGGATCGTCCCCTACTGTTATATAGATTCGCCTTAAGTGGGCGTGACCACAAGACGGCGCCAGTGAGATTCGAAAGCCAACAGTTTAGTCAAAACCCAAGCAGTTAGCCAATTCGCTAGCGAGTTTGCAAACTGGCTGCCCCAATACTTCTGAGACTTGCTGTAACAAATCTTGTTACTAAGAACTTAACTCCATGTTTATTGGGAGACTGTGACATTTATTGGCTCGTAGTCATAGTATCCAAAATTTATTAGAAGCACTAGGGGACTCCAAAAGGCAATGTGTATGTCCATCCCACATGGTGACTTCATTTCTAGTCAATCATGTGCTTCAGCCCAACCAAACATAAATAAACAATTATAAATATTTTGTTTAACAAATTTGTATTCACTTTAATTTCCTGGATATTATTATTGGTCAAAAAGCTAAGTTATCAAATGGATTAATTAAATTCATAATTACATGTCAGAACGGAAAGAATATTTCCCAGATACAAGCTAAAGGAAATTTACTTGTTTTTATATTTTTTAAAAATTTTGAAGAAAGGGAATTTACTACATGTACCAGTTACTATGCATTTGCTAATGACAGATAGAGAATAACGAGTAAATTCTTACAGCAGTTTTTAAACTGATTTTATTTAAAATACAATACAATAAACTTTTATTTATAATTAAATTTTAAAAGGATTTAAACAAATCTGTTTAGTTATAATTTCCCCAGAGCCCTCTATGGGAGGAAATGTTGGAAACAAATAAAAATGGTACAAATTGAGTAAATTACACTACATTTTACATAAACATGGAGGTAATTTTTTTACCTCCATGAGATAACTAACCAAAAATACAAATTTTTACATTCCAACTCATGATTTGGACCCTGCATTGGAGAATCCAGAAAATGCTTACACGTACAACATATTTTTTAAAATTCAGGTAATCAGTTGGTAAAGAAATGTGGAAATGTGCCACTTAATCAGAAAAAAACAAAAACACAAAGTGTTTTGTCTCAAAAATAGCGTCTCCAAGAAGCATATAAAGTTAATTTCTTGAAAGAGTTTAATTTGCTTATTTTTTAAACATTCATTCCTATTTATGCGCAATCTGTCAATTTGTTTGCTTTTGTTTTTCATGTATTTCAATGCTGTTACAAATTATTGGCTAAATAAATTTGAAAAGATTCACAACGTTGATAATTTTCTGGCATTACTGCCCTTCATACATGAACTGAACAAATTCTGCATCAAACAGTATGACATCAAATTGATGCTTGATGATTTCAAATTTCTATAATACAGTTATAGAGTGATAAATCTGAATCTATGACCATTGAGAGTCGAGCAGCTGACCAGTGCAATTGTGTATACTGCGTTGTTGACTATGAACAAGTGAACAAGTCTTCCTTGTGCAGGTTTGCACCCAAATAGTGTCAAAACATATTGGGTTTGGTAATCAAATTTCAGTGATGGGTGGCAAGTGCTACACCATGCGAATGGAGTGCAGCAATTAAATCCCGGGCAGTGTGCAGTGGGTGTGGCACATTTTGGACACAAATGAAAACATACCGGGAAATATACATTTTTGAAATTGAATATCATGTGACAGGTGTGAGTCATATCTAGGGTTAGGGACTCAGCGCTCAGACACAGGAATCAGCGATCACAACCATTTAACATGATGAAAATCAGGGTGTGACATGCGGAGACAAGTAAAATCCTACAAAACAATGTCTCGATTGCATTTAGTAATACTATATCGCTTCAGATGAATGTACACTGCATAAATATTAATGATTATTACTCGACTCACATGACTAACGTCAAATATTGGTATATTCTGGTATAAATGGTTAGCGCCGTCGATATACAGATAAAACATTTTGTGTACTTACGTTATCAATTACAACGGGCTGGTTTGCAATAACGTCGTACGAATCCATTTGAAAGAAATATTTGATCTATCTCCAAACTTCCCATCAACAGGAAGGCAATGGATCCAAGCGGTGAAATTGAATAACCCTCACTGCGCATGCGCATTTAAATGATGTCATTTGAGGACTGTGTGAAGAATTGTGGGACTTATTTTATGTGATCCGTTGGCAGAAAAAAAAGTGCGTTTTGCCATTTTGAGCTAAAAAAGACGATGATGAAAACTGACAACTCGCTCCTAAAAAACGAAATATTCTATTTTGGAACTGTGCTCTTGGGAAAATTATTATTTCTACACGTGGGTGGGCTTTGTCAGAAAAAGACGGAAGTAATTGGCTGTCTCGTTTGACTCTCGCCTCCATCTGTCAGGCGTAGCGTAGTAAATGTTATCCTGATTTTCTGTTGTATTATAAGTCAGACGGAAGTTTCTCTTTTCTTTAACTAATGTTTAAAATGAAAAACAATATGCTTTTATAAGGAATGTATTTTTAATAAAAAGTTTTGTCTTAAACCTGCGATAGTTCATAGTGGGTGTATCAAGTAACAAGAACAGCCATGTTTAGGTCGCTGTAAAGCAAGCTTCGTACGTACAAGAGTTGTGAAAAATGGAGGCTGTGGAACCAATGCCAGCGACGGGAGCGAATTCTCAGCTGCCCATCGGCTTAGAGGCAATTTACTCATCATGCAGGAAACTTTATCAGAGCCAGCCTAACCCACTGCAAGTCACTGCCGTTGTAAAATATTGGTAAGGTGGATAATTCTGTGTAAATTTGGAGGTTGTTTGTGTCTTGGATCGAGTCATTCTTTGCCTACAATTGACAAGGACTCTTCGGGGAGGTCTTAGCTGTTTGAAATCACAGTTAGCAGCTAGCTGTTGGTGAAACAATGCGTTTTATCGTGTGTGGTATTCACATACACGGATTTTTCGTTTGTTCTGTGTATCGCTAGCAGTCAGTAGTTCAGTAAAACGAATTGAAATAAGTACATATGTAGCCTAGTTTTAAAACCAGTTTGAAATAACAAAAAGCGGAAGTGATACAGGAGTTTAGTTTGAACTTGGTGACATGATAACTTAGAAGGCAGAGAATTAGTTATTGCCGGATTTCATACCAAATTTCTGTGTTTTTGTACTTGTATTAAAATATTTTTTTGGTTTTCGGTACAATTTATCAAGTTTTAAGCAAAGTTGTTTCCATGGTAACAAAATCATATTTATTCTGTTGTGGCTGGTATTGTGAGTTGTGTAGATGGTTCAACATTGTTCAATGGTCGCCACACAACATAAAGCATTTTATGTATATTGAGGCTGTTAAACATATAACTAAAGAAATTGAGTCTTCAGGTCCAGAATAAAAAAAATTAGTGCATCACAGCTTTTTGTCAAAATTTGAAGACAAATAAACAATAGCGAAAATCCAACTGCATGAAAAACCAAAATAAAATCTTTATTATAGTTAAAAAGAAATTAAAAATTTTGTTTTTTAACTGGGCCGAGTAGAAAGTTAATTTCTTAGTAAAAATTGGTAACCAAAATGTAATAACAGTTGGTATATACTGTATCCATTGTAATTGCTTCTAGTACATGTATATTTGTTAAGGCAATGTTTAGTACCATATGTATGAAAAAAAGAGAAGTACGTTATGTGCACAATGTGTTAACCTGCAATTTCAAAGTACATTGTAACTTCTTTGAATTGAGTAATTTTTTATAAAGTTTTCCTTTGAAATTGCTTAAAAGTCACAGTGAAATATTGCAGTTGGGGATTGTAAATATTTGAATTAGTGAGAATTCCTTCAATTTGACTGAGTGGAATGTATGTGTACAAATAACTGATGAATTTGTATACATGGAAACATGCAAAATTAAAATTATTCTATAAAAGCATATAATACATGTATGTTGATCAGATTGGATGCTGACTAATACTTTGACTGTAAAGCTGATGTATATGTATGGTTGTGATAAAGTTGGAAAACTATCAGCATAAATTCAATTAATCTGATTGACTTGGGAAAAGGTGTTGGAATCCTAAATTGGTATAAAGCTCTGCATTTACAAAAACAGATCTGTGAACACCACCAATGCAAACTTCAACTCATAAAAAGATGTGTACATGTTTTTAAAACGGTGCAACACATTTATATCGCTGTATTAGTACTAGTGCATTTGCTTATATAAATGATAAAGATATTTCTGTGGTCAAAATAATAAGTTTAGTTCCATTTGGAGGAATCTGGGAACCATATTTACTCTATTATTAATTGTAAAAGTGAATTCACACAAACCAAATATTGCATGTATTGTATACTGAATCATTAAAATATAATTTATTTAATAATCTTATTTTCACTTGGAATTTAAATTAAATGGATGAATCGTTGAAAATAAAATCCAGTAAAAATAATTACATTTTTTACATTCCATTAATCACAAATCAGTAAAAATAAACTTAATACAAAACTCACAAAATTAATTCCAGCTAAAATATTTCACAACAGTCAGATGATGTAGATGTGCTTCTCAGATACATGCTTTCACTATTTCAATAAGGTATGTAGCTTTGTGCTATATTCATGATGCATCTCACATTACAAGAACAATACAGGGATGAGCTTCCTAGTAAGAAAGACAATAGAAAGTTTACACAACAATCAAACATTCTTTTGTCTTGTACAAGTTTGGTCATGGAGCTAAAAAAAAAGAGAATGAACTGATTTTATCCTACTTAAGTTATTTGTTTTGAGCTAATTATTCTTTTGTATAGACTAGCCTTTCATCCCTGCTGACTTTTGTTGACATAGATGTGTTGAAAGAGGGGTACTTGAAGAAATATTATGATTCGTTTTGTGGAAAAGAAATTCTAAAAGCCAATACAATACATAACATTGGCAGTTTTTCAAAATCTCAAGACAAAAACAACATGAAAATTAGACCACTTTTTGCAAATTTACAAGCTTCCCTGTTTTCAACGCATATGTAAATTTTCTTAGAACCGCAATACAATAAACCTTTGAATAGGGTGTAAAGTTGGCTCTTCATAGGAATGTTTGCATTATATGTTTTGTATACTAAGCTTTTGAAATAGTTGAATTTCAGGCAAAATTGCTGTGGATAATATGAGATATTACGAAGATACATCCAAGTATGTACGAAGACAGTACAACGAGAGTATCGACAGATGCGTAGCGGAGTTCGATGCGACCACGTACTGTCTGAGTGCATATTTGGCGCAGTATCCTCGTAACAACCTTATTATTATACATCTTTTCCTCCCAGGGAAACATCATGGGAATGCCAAAATTCAAAACGTTTAGAACAGATTTAGCAAAATTCTTTGTGTGGCAGGGATCTGCCCACGCTGGTCGGCACCGGTCGCTAACGACCGGCACTCAGAATTTCCAACCAGGACAAAAAGTTGGCGACCAGCACTATTCTATTTGTTTGATACACACAGGATGTCAGCCACTGGACCATCATTCTATTGTCCTTTGTTGGTTTTAACACACAACACAATGCAACAAATTAACACACAACAAAACTTGAAAGAAGACACCGCTGTTCAAAATCAACGTACATGTGTGACATCAGCGTAATGTGTTTTTGTTTTAACCTCCGATTGACATTCTGATAGTTTTAACAAACCATGGAGCTAAAAAAAGGAGAGAGTACGCAATATAAGCCAATAAACTCCCTTTGTTTCACGCTCAGATTATCCAATTAAACCCATTGAATTTCGTTCTATGGAAATCCACGATAGCTGGTGTATGTTTGCACAGTGAGACGTGCCGTAGTCCTGTATTTCAAGATGTACACCCCTCTCATAAAATTGAATGTGCAGTTAACAAATAAGGTCACTGCAAATGCGCAGTGGCGTGTGATTGGTACATTAGGTCATTCTGCGTATTTGAAGACCGGAAGCACAACAGTCGGACGATTATTCAAGAATTGGCGTCAATTTACAACATTTTTGTGCTCCGTGAGTTGACGATTTTCGAGGCTTGATTACCAAATTTTCTGCAAACATTTGCAAAACAGTTCAACTTGATTTATTATCGTTGTGAAGTTGGCTTTTACACTCTATTTTCATTTTCTGCGAGCGACGTCCAGCGATCGGTAAAGATCGCATTTCATATGTCGATGGTTCGCCGCTAGATTGGAAGATTACTGTACCTGTTTGTTACTGTGCGCATGCGCAGTCAACTCTAATCGCGCTCTCCGTCCCAGAGGCCTTTGCACACAGTGTGCCGGCGAATACCGAATGCGTTCCGAATATACACGAATCACGTAATCCAATTAGAAGGGATTAAACAGACAACAGGGAAGAGATTGTTTATCTTTTGGCTAAGCAAACAAGAACCAACTAACGTGGTACACAGGAAAGACAATAGGGTCCTCTCTCCTTCTTTTTTTAGCTCCATGAACAAACGAACCAGATCGGAATAAGTCGTACATCAAGATAATGGAAGGGGAGACAATAATAAATAAACAGAAGGAAGGATTACCATTGCAAGTTTAGTTGTGTGTAGGATTTGCCGAGTTGAACAATAACTTGCTCACTTCACCGGCAGCGATGCATCAAGCTGTCGTTCGTTTAATCTGCACTTGCACTCTAGTGTAGTAACCGTCATTGATGTTTCTGGCTTCATGACGCGTTCATAAAAATAAATTCATAAACTATATTCAGTCAGCGATACAAGGAATACTAATTTCTCACTATTAATGTGAATTACCAGCGTTCCATCGGAAAATAAAACAATTAAATTCTTGTTGCCACTTTTGCCAAAACAAACAGACGACACGCTTTGAAAAAAATATAGCTGCCAGGTCAGAGGTCAATGTCTAAAAATACGCGTTTTAGACATGATTTCAAAAATAAAGTGTATATATTTTTTCACTTTTATTAAAGCAGATTAATTTTACATTGAAATATTTAAAATAAATAAAAGTTAAAATAATTAAAGTGTAGTTGATTCGTAGCAAGTAGGATGGTAAAATGAATATTAATTAGCGACCGACACACAAATCAAGCTGGGCAGAACCCTGGTGTGGGGTCTGGTCGAACCCTGGGGGCAGCCATGTTTTGTTTTATTATTATTAGAGGACGCTTATGCACGTAATTGTTCTTTATTTGGAATTCACATTTCCTAATATGGTAGGATGAAAATACCTGGTGTTATAGTGACAGATGTATAATAATTTATTTTAGCTGAATCAAGAATTTACTTCATGATCTATTTTCGCAGGAAAAATATTAGTCTTAAAACAGGTGGCAAATTGAGTATTTCGCCGTTAAGGATGCTGTACATGTTTTTCTGCTTTGAAACCAAAAATTCTATATTTTTACTAACGTTAGTACTTTCCCCGATTTAATCAATCAGACCATGGAGGTATAAACAAAAGGTAGAAAATTTGGGCACATGGCAGACTTAGTTTTCATGACCAAATTACGTATCATGGACTCCGGCCACAATGAGTCGAAAGTGAAACACTTGGCCCCCGGACTTGGCCACACGTAAAGCCTGAGACAAGCAGCTGTTTTACATGTTTTATTTTTTTTAATCTTCACATTCTCAACAAATAACTTGACGGATTCAATGAAGTTAGATTTGTTATACATGATATAGAAAGTGAATTGAATGTAAGATACCGACAGCAGTCCCCGTCACACTAATTTTGTCACAACAGTTTTGGGAACTAAAAATGGAAAACACGATTTATGGCGAACTGGTTATTTTACAAATCCACAAAATAATAACGGAACAAACAAAATGAAAATTCGCCGCCCGATCGACAGACAACTTTAAATCCAAGCAATTCAGTTCAGCACTCGCTGTGACTTCTCTCCCCCTCATTGCCATTCAAGTCAGATAGTATAGATCTTTGTCGAGACATCTCGCGTAGTAAAAAAAAATCTTGGAAAGAAAACTACAAGTAGTTGACTCTGGTGGTGCGTTCAGCCACGGTTATTGGTTCAGCAGCGGAGCAAAAGAATGACCTTCCATTTAGGGCAATGTATGGTAATGAGTCTTCCAGAAAGGGAGTGCCTCTTCCCACAACTTAATAATGAATATGTAAATCATGACCTCATTTATATTCACACACCTACGTGATTATGACAGACAGATACCATGACTAGTGGTTACGAGTTTGTTTTGATCCAAGGGACACATGGAATTGAGTTAGCCGACGATACGTTGCTGCTAAGTTGTTTTTGCCGTTTTCTCGGTTAAACAAAACAGTGATTCACGACAACTGCAGGCCTTTGATCTCGAGTTCTAGTGGACGTATTATACTAATTTTTCGCACAGACACTCTTCGATATGTTCCTTCTCAAGCAGCGCTGGGATTTTTCTATTTTCCTATTTGTTTCGAAATTACGTTCTAATTTCTGAATACCGGAAAGAACCAGATCGCATTGTTTTTTCAATATAGCTAAATAATTATTTCTTCTCCAACTATCATGTAGATACATGTATATATCTCAATTAACGCGAAATGGTGGTGAGCGTCGTCTGAATACTGTTTTGTTGCCAATGTTCCACTAAATTCGTTTATTCAATGGTTCAATTATTTTTTTACCGAAAATGGCTTTCTGTGTTTACACAGAGATCACGTGACTATAAACGTCCATACACACACTATCTTGTCGATTTCATATCCAGTGTGAAATAAGCTTTCCATCAATATATAGCTTTGTGTTGTTCAGTAAATATTTTATATGAAAATATCAGTTTAGAAAATCAATACCAAAAACGTGTACAGCATCCTTAAGGTCTCATGCCACTAATTAACCAATGGCTGCTCGTAGCCCTCAATTTAAATGCCCAGCAAGAACCAATAAAATTTTTTAGTCCCCGTTCGGACGCAGTCCGAAAACGGGGACTTATGTTTTGCCCTGTGTGCGTCCGTGCGTCCGTGCTTCCGTGCGTCCGTGATCACCTGTATCTCGAACATGCATGGACCGATTGAGTTCAAACTTCACTCATACATCACACATTATATGGGACATATGCACATGCATTTTTTTCATGATCTGATTAACGATAGCCGAATAGCGGCCATTTTAAGGCCGAAAATGCATCAAAATCGCACATTTTCACCATTCCGGACCCGGATCTCAGTTATGCATGGACGGATTTTGTTCAAATTTGGTACATACATTAAACATAATAGGACCTTGATGCACGTCATTTTTTTTTTTGGATCGGGTTCGAAATGGCCGACTGGCGGCCATTTTGTTTTAAAGAATTCAGTTCTGGATCCGTATCTGAGACATGCTTGGATTGATCGAGTTCAAACTTCACACACACAAGGTACATCATGTCACAAATATGTATGTGCATTTGTTTCATGATCTCATTAACGATAGCCAAATGGCGGCCGCTTTAAGGCCGAAAATGCATTGAAATCGCACATTTTCACCATTCCGGACCCGGATCTCAGTTATGCATGGACGGATTTCATTCAAATTTGGTACATACATTAAACATAATAGGA